TGTTTGGATTTATCACGGAGCTTCTGTAACTCACTGCAAGCTTTATTCTTTTTTCCCCCTGAGCTTTTCTGAAAAAAACAAAAACAAAAACAAAGTATGTTCCTGAAACTTTCCATGTTCTAAGACAATAAGAAATTGCAATCTGTAAGTTATTACTTTGTGAACAATCAATATAAAATGATCAATATGAATAACATTCATTAAAGTTCAATTCAGTCTGTCCTGCTCTTAGTCCAGACATTTTCCAAGCTATCTTTATATGAAGCAAGAGCCAGGCTGGACTTTTAGCTACAATATAAGTAAGGTTACAAGTGTCGGCGGGATTCAGAGTTACGTTTCCTTACCCTGCTGAAGCATAACCTTTATCACCTGGTATCACATGGGCTGGCTCTCCATGCAGCCTCACACGGCCACTAGCATGGCTGAAGCAACTACAAAACCGATTTCAAATGCTACCAGCATCATCATGACAAAAAGTGCATCACATCGGTCCTAGAGTAAGTCAACACCCACTTCTGATGTGAAATGTAAGAGATCAAGCACATTTCAAACTGATACTACTTCTCATTGGTACGTTGAAGGGTTATAATACCCAGTTGAGAGGGTCACAGTACAAAGTGACAACATCTTTCTCCCTTCAGCTACGATGTGAAAAATCTCCCTTCAAAGAGGAACCGAGGAGCTCTCACATCAATCCATCAAACCAAAGGACACCTCACCAGAACTAGAAAAACACCAGTTCGAAATGTAATTCTCTCATCGCGCACTGAGCTCAACTTGAAAAGGCCGGTCACACAAGGGTTTAAATAGAAATCTATTTTCAGGCCTGAAAATAAAACTGGCCATCATTCTGTCCTGCCACACCTCTCTCTTGGGGACTTGTCACATTTATAACATGTAGTCATTTTCTCAGCTGTCACAGCACGCTCTTACCAACCTCCGTTATCCAACACAACCTGTCAGCTTCTAATTCTAAACTTCCCTAATGTCTGTTTGTGCCATGAATCAAGAGCAGCTTTCTTTTTTTAATACATGTATTTGGAATTATAAGGAGGTCTCTTTCGTTGCATTCATCATTGGTGTTCATGTGTGTGTGTTCTGTAAGGGTCCAGACAGAGGTGGCACAACAAAGTAGGTCATGACAGAGGTTAGTACTGCATTAGCGACTGTCAGTGGCAGGACAGGAGAGCGGAGACACCAGGGCAGTCGTCTCCCTTTCACACATTCTCACACTCTCACACACACACAGACACCTCAGCATTTTCTAAAACTTCACTGCGTTCTGTCACGGATCTGAGCCAGCAGGCCATGACACAGGGCGGCATCCAGAACAGGCGGACGTGTCCGGCCTGTTGTTTTGTGTGCATGTGCACACAAATATGAGAGAGTGTTTGCATATGACAGGGTTGTTTGACCGGCCAGAATCCAAACAGTTTGCCCTTGCCAAAGACAAATTATTGTAGAAAAGAAAGTTCTTAACTCTTTTTTTAATGCTTTCTATTATCCGTAGTGATTTTTAATGGCAATATTCAAAGATTTGCTCCATAAAGGCCAGATGAATCTTCATGGGCCTTTGTATCAGTATCTAGTTCTCAGAGATGACTTATGGAAATCTGTCTCATTACTTCTGCCTTCTTATGGTTGAAAATCTCACATAAAAACATAATGATCCAAGCTGATTCTGTTGTCTGCTGCAGCAGTCAACGGTTTCTTTTTCTGATGTTCTAAGTCTCTTCAGTTTCCATCAGAAAGTCTGAGATAATTACGGGAGTAAAAAGGCTCACTCTCAGGGAAGATTAACAACATCTCACTCGGCTGAACTCCTCTCTCCCTTTTATCTCCTCAAACACAGCAGAGGAGAAGGCGAGTTATGCAACTCCCGCCTTAGGGACCCAGCCGACTTTCCACCCAACTTCTGTCTGCCTCTGTATATCTGGGGCGTCTGTTAGTCCTCTGCTATTTGATGTGTGTGTCTGTAGCAGCCATGTGACCGGCACGAGAAAGATGTGCCTGTTGCTCACAGCTTTTTCTGCTTTGCTCTGCTCCCTCCAGGAACAGGTTTCAAAGCAAACTTAGACCTTTCCCGGTTTGACATTTAACACCACCTCAAATCGCAGTGCCAAGTTGCTGCATAGCTTTCTTTCCACCTTTCTCTTTTATCATTCCTCCAAAGACTCTCCCTTCATTAGCTGGGCTTTGAAAAGAGCTGCCCTCATTCTGCTTAGCTACAACATGGACTATGAAGGAAACTCACATTTGCTTCAGATCTTTTTCGCAGCATCCAAGTCACTTCAACACAGTTCCTAATGTCATGCTAGTCTTAAAAGAATATTTGATCATGTCAGCTTGATAAAATGTTAGTCTATCAAACATACAAAAAAGTTACAAGTTGATGTTTTTTTTTTTGTTTTTTTTTATACAGGCTATTTATATGAAACAGCTTCTCTTGGCTTTGTGGAACATAAATTGGAGATAATTAGTCTATAAACTTCTTTCTTTCTGTCTCTGATTACTACATCATGGATACTCAAATTGCTTTGCTCAATGGCCACTTGTGCAAAATGACAGGGAGTCACTGTCAAGTTAATAAACAACCTTTATTAGATAAAGTAAATAAACATTAAAAAGTCCCATAATTCATATTTATTTGAAATGATTCGTCTTCAAACTAACCAACTTATAAACTTGTTTTAGTGCATTTAATAGGATCCACCTGAATTTAAATGCAAACCCTTTACCTGTGGCGCTGGCCTTCAGAGGCAAAAGGCACAGCTGCTGTTGAATCCCATAGTTGAACTTGTTTCACACGACCAACCGTGTCCTCTTTGTTCGTCTCCTGCAAACAGCTCCTCCACAACTTCCAAAGTGCACGCTTTAACAAGTTCCGCGTCCACAAAAGGTTTGCGCTTCATGGCTAGTTCCAAAGTTACACGGCAGCAGCCCTCGCAGTGCAACCTGGTGGGAACGCCGTACTGAAGTAGCATGTTATAGCAACCTTGCACACAGCAACTGTCATTTGGCAAATGAAACACAGTAGTTTAGGATTTGCATGACATGGCAAAGTAAAGGCGAATCCCTTTATCCACTTTTCACTGAATTGTCTGTTTTCATGGTCAAAGTTTCTACCTTTGTTGTCTTCACTCAGCTTGTGCTTGGCCAAAGAATCACACTGACACGGATCACATTGCACTACGCAACGCAGTCACTGTGTGTAGCCCTCATAGAACTGAAGTGTCACCCTTTTGCAAGCTCAGGACCAATCAGTGTCCTGCCAAAGGTCTCAAGCCCGGATCTCTCAAAGACTTATGTGAAGTCACCTGTAAGTAATTGAGTGCTAAAGTCTGCAAGGGCTGGAAATTGTATGAATAGGAATGGGACAGCAGGCTGTCACATCACCATGACAAGTAAAGTCTGCAGAAGTGCCACCTTATGGAAAGTGAGCATAAATGGCTCAAAATGAAGGTGACAGAGCCCTCATGCACCTTTCCTGAGCCCTGGCTAAACTACTGGGGATGTGCCTCAAAATCTATGAGCTTTTAAGTGTGGACACTGGGACTGGACATTAATGTGAATTAAACAGTGGCTGGCGGGCCGGCTGGCAGCCTATCACGGACCTAATTTGGCCTGCTGGCCATAAAATGAGTATCACTGACATATACAGTACTGTATACTAAGGTACCAATAACTGAGTCAGTGGTCAAGAAAAAAGTTCTAAGAATGTAAATAAAAGTATACTTTTAAAGACATGTACACTGCCCACATATCTTGCTGATGGATAGAAAGGCATTTGCATGATGCAAAAAAGCCCTTGATGAGTACACAGCAAGTCAAGAATGCTCTCAGAGAATTCACCACTGTATGCAAACCCCTGGTGTGTCTCCAAAACTGAAAGGCCCATTTGCATTTCACAAACACATACAGTACCTCAGGGTAGCATATTAAATTTGATATCACATCTAAGAAAAGCTTCAAAGCCTAAGAATCAGAACATAACTGACGTAAAACTGCACTAATGCCCCATTATGCACAAATCACCAACACATATGCTCAATGCCTGGAAACTTAAAGATTGTACTAAAGGTATTTGAATTAAAAATAAAAATATAGATACACTGTAGACTGCATATTTTAATGTCTCGAGGCATATTATTTTCAGCTTGTCCTGAGCTTGTGAACATGATATCTCAGGAACGCCTTGAGGGAATTTCTTCAAATTTGGCACAAATGTCCACTTGGACTTAAGGGTGAACTGATTAAAGTTTGGTGGGCCAAGGTCAAATGTCACAGTGACCTCACATGTGTCCCGTTCTTCTGAACACGATATCTCAGGAAT